TAATATACCGTCCGAAATGGAAACCGAATATCAATTATAGACAGTCACTTTTATAAACGTAAGAGATTGGGGTTTTTTTCAAAATTGACCGGAAGCGAGGTTCCGAATATCTGGGGTCCGGGTATCTGAGGTCTCACTGTATATTGTTTTTGTTCCAGGATCTGAATCGCAGAGAAGGAATAATTGCAAAGAAGGAAGCCATGTTGTCAGAGAAGGGTGAGCTGGAGATAAAGAAACTGCTTCTAGTCAGATGCTCAACCATGACGTCGCTTCCATGTCCCTGAAACTTGAAAATGTGGAGAAGAAGATCGAGGAGAAACGAAAGGAGTTGGCCCAGACGACAGAAGATGGAACAGGAGAATGTCAAGGAGGACATTGCACGCTTGAAGCGATCAAGGGGAAAAGTTGCAGAAGAGTCGAGGAGTGATGGACGGTGAGAGCTGCGTTGAAGGCAGTATCTTGTCGGCTAAGGAGGAGAGAAGGTGGGTGATTGAGGAAGGAAAGGCATGAGTATGTCAGAATCTCATAAATATGTGGGTGATTTACAACATGGGGATTCAGAGGCAGAATGGTCTGTAATAACCCAAGCTTGTCATAAGAGATATCCATGATGAGTTTAGTTTTATGCCAAGTTTAGCAATATTCCAGCAATATTACAGCAGGGGACACCAGAAATGGCCTTCATACATTGTACCCATGTGGGGAATCGAACCCGGGTCGCTTGAGCGGGATTTGAATAATGCTTTAACCACTAGGCTACCCTACCGCCCCAGATAGTCATTATGAGCATTTTATGACCTGGGTGGTGTTGTTCAAAACAAGCTTAGTGCTGTGACTGTCATAAGTCTATGTTACGGTATAGGAGTTACGATCAACTTAGGGCTAAGATATCTGTGCGCAACAGCACTCAGGTTGGTTGTGCATCATCATGATACTTCCTCATGTGTCCGCGGTGTTCGATTGGCTGAAAAAGCAATTCTCTTTGTGTTTATGCTTCCATAACACACCCCATGTCCCCTCCCCACCTAAGAGGCCACACCCACTAATGTTGCAGTGAATGAAAGCACTAGTTCCATAATATTGCAATAAGTAAATAAGCAAGCTGTGTCGACATATTTATTTGCAAGAACTGACTTCAGTATGTTTTTGTATTTGTGGAGATATTAACTTAAAAATCAAAGTGCACTCTTTGCGAAAATCTGCTACTCTTATTTACAGAGTATGCTTGTCAGATTTTACTTTTCGATACTTACTCGTGCGGAAAAAGGTACTAAAGTCAATTCTTAAATTTCCCTGATGGACCTCAATGCAAACTTTCTCTGTATTTCTTTTTAAAATGATTTTCTGTCTGTAGGCTTATTGAACTAGATGAAGCAATCGAAGCTCTTGATGCAGCCATTGAGTACAAGAATGAATCCATTCACAACAAACAGGCAGAGATCCGACAGTCACAGATTATGGCTCAGGTGAGATATGAATGGATTTGCTGTAAAATTTCAGGATATTAGCCAAGACAGATGAAGCAGATGAAATGAAGACCGGTTGTGATTGTGTGATTATAATATAGGAATTGATGCTCACATTCTCAACCACTGATTTGTCTGATAGAGCCCCAACTCAGGTTAACAAATTACAGGCAATATAACTGTAAATGTCTCTGTGTAATTTTGAATGACAATAACTTTTGATAGAGGTTGACTGATTGCCAATGGCCTCCTCTTATACCAATGGCCTGAATTTGGTTACTTTGTTAGATAGGACATGTGAAGCTTATTACAGCTGTCCCCATGTGACATGGCTGGAATATTTTTACATTTACGTAGATGAAATAATGAAATATCCTCCTGTTTCTCAAAACTGGAAACACTGGAATCTCTCTATTTTTATTCCATCCATGTTATCAAATGCAACCTGTACAGAAAGCAGGTTTTATATCATTGAACAATTTCCTCTTCATGTTTTGTGTGATGCCTCCATTATGACTCAGAGTGAGGACAACTTGATGAATCGCCTCAAGTCGCTGACCACCGTGGAGACCAAGTCGCTGCTGTCCAAGTACTTTGAGAAGGTGGTCAGTCTCCGTGAGGAGGAGAGGAAGCTAGTGCTGCAGTGTGACGAGCTGGAGGTAGGCACTGTAGCTCACCTTCCATATACTGTCACTAAGAATTTGTGATGGTATTAAATGAATTCATTCAGGTCTTCAACAACTAAAACTGTAAATGATACGGAGGATTGTTACATTTAAGTTGTATTCAGCACCATGATTGAAATGTGCCTGTGACTTTCCCCAAGAGGATTTATTAGTTGAAGTAATCCACCTTAGTTGTACTTGTAGTAGGGGTTGGCGGTATTGAGGATCAGATTGGTTTGCACCCACACTCTTCCCCATGAAGATCTGGGTTAGAATTGGTCTTCAGCAACCTTTGATGGTCATAGAGACAACAAACAGGATCAGATGATCATTGTTTAAAAGCATATCTTTGTAGCCCCAATTGCAAAGATCAATGCTAATGATGCCAGTGTCTGGATTGTCGGGTTCGATTCCCCACATGGGCACAATGTGTGAAGCCATTTCCTGAAGTGTCCCCAGCATTGATATTGCTGGAATATTGCTAAAAGCTGTGAAAACCAAACTCAGTCAGTCAGTCAGTCTGGATTGTCTGTAACAGGCAGCCTAATGTACTGGACAATCAAAGAATTTGTGACTTGGCGATGGCATATATCATAGGTATCATAGGTGCAGATTCATGCTCAGAATGTTGATCACTGGATTGTGTGTGCTCCAGACTAAATTACTTACAGGCCACCTACATGTAACTGGAATATCACTGAGGTATGGTGTTAGATAACAAACAAATTAAAAACAACAACCCAAACCATATAGCCAATTGTTAATACCATACAAAGAAACAAACATGCAGATTCATAGGGTTTTATGTGAGAGTCTGCTTTATTTACCATTAGATAATACAGAGTTTGTAACAAACGCTTACGGTATATAGAACAAATCAGTTTTGGTCCCAACAACTTGCTGTTTGTTTAGTTGAAATGCTTATAATGAACTATGATTATAACAACTTATAATTGTCCCTTTGGGTTCCATTCTGACCATAGATTACTGTATTTAGAAGTATGATATACTTTACATTTGTGTTTGTATCTGTATTGCAGGTGAAGATAGGCGAGCAGGGCCGAATTATTCGAGAACTTGAGGCTTTGCAGAGAAACAACATGGATTCAGACCCGTCGTCTTGTGCAGCAGCAGAGTAGAGTATGAACAGAAGATGCAACTGCTAATGCATCAAGAGTGAGGAGGAGGGAGGAGTAAGGGAACAGCTGTGGAGATGGAATTGATTTCAAGTCAATACACAGTACACTTGTCATATGTATGCTAGATATACAAATAACAGAGCAGTAAAGAAGCATTGACATCCTTACAATTAGCAGTTAGTGATGCATGATGGAGTACTGTTTGAATGATGGTTTGGTGTTTGTTGTCCCCCCATACCTTAGCATAAGAACGGAACTATGTATTCCAGCGTCCGATCGACGCGTTAGTATGTATGCGTCCGATTCTTGATAACGATATCTCATGAACTGTTGTACCCGATGTCTTCAAAGTTGGTGACAGCCTACATTGGGGATGCGGCAGACACCAGTTTATTTGGGTATTACCTTGACCTTATCTTGAAGTCCACCCGCGACTTCCTTTGACCACTTTTCAAACTGTTGTTAACGTGATATCTCATGCACTGTTGTATCTAATATCTTCAAATTTGGTGACAGCCTACATTAGGGGATTACGCAGACACCAGTTTATTTGGGTGACCTTGACCTTATCTTCGAAGTCACCACGACATTTTGACCATTTTTTTAACTCTTATTAACGCAATATCTCATGGACTGTTGTACCCAGTGTCTTCAAATTTGGTGACAGCCTACATTGGGGGATTACGCAGACACTAGTTGATTTGTGTGACCTTGACCTTATCTTCATGGTCACCATGACATTTTGAACACTTTTCAAACTGTTGTTAATGCGACATCTCATTAAACATTGCACCCAATGTTTTCAACTATGTTGACAGCCTACATTGGCTGATAATGCAGACACCAGTCATTTCAGGCATCTTGTATGTGACCAAAAAATAAAGAGTAGTAAATATAGATATTCCATTCTATAGCCGCGGGGGACATTTCCATATCAGTTGCAAACACTTGTTTGTCGTTTAGCATCGCACTCAGCAATATTCCAGCGATATAGCGACAGTCTGTAAATAGTCAAGTTTTGACCAGACAATCCAGTGATAAACATCATGAGCATCAATCTACACAATTAGGATGTGATGACATGTGTCAACCAAGTCAGCGAGCCTGTCCACCTGGTCCTGTTAGTCGCTGACAAGCATGGGTTACTGAAGTCAGGTTCTAACCCAGATCTTCACAGGTTTTAGTATTTGAAATCATTCACTGTTAATGACTTAGGTACAGAAATACTGCCCTGAAAGCTGACAGTAAAAATCTGATATATGTAACCTTTCTCATTCCTGAATATTTTCTGTATTTTACTGTCATTTCAGAGTACAACAGCTGGAAAAAGATCTGTATTACTATAAGAAAACTAGCAGAGATCTGAAGAAGAAGTTCAAAGATCTGATAACGAAAGGAGTTCTTAGTGCACAAGGTTAGTAAGCATTGACATGGTTGATGTGCTGTATTTGTGTAACCATGGTTACAGATATATGGTGATAATGGCCGATTTCTGTATCTCTGTTATTTGTTGTAACCCCAGTAATTCAATCTCTCTGTTTATGGTACTTGCTTGTGGTCATTTTGCAGCATCAGTGGACCAACTGACTCCATTCCGAAACACATGTGCCATGACAATCCTAAATCTGTGTTATCGTGGTTATGTGAATTTTGGAAGTTTTCAGTGTGGCACAAGGTCCAGCAGATAAAGTCCTGTATCAGGGAACACCTTGAGAGATGATTATGCGAGTTTTACATCAGCAACAAATAGCTCCAGATGGGCTACATATATGCATGAAAAGGTCCCATGCCTTGTACATAGTTAATTGGACATTCCTAGCGGAAGGGAGCATATTCAAGTCTAGTTAAGCTTCTCAAGGTGGCGTTGCTGAGGGGTATATAAGGGTAGTGATATTTGAATTTGTCTCTCACTTTCAGCTTGCGAGTCCGCGGGTGGTGTGCATTTTGGATCTTGATGCAACTTTGGCTAGTAAATTAGATGCCATTTTCAACCAATTTCTTCTAATAAACAGGAGTTTGAGTCAAAGGTCTCTCTTTTACTGCACAGCTAGTCCAATTGTACATGACTTTTAGTTGTTGATTATGGGATGGTTGGGCATTCTAGGAGAAACTGTCTGATCTTGGGTGTAAAAGTACCTGGGACGTGACTATAAGCATCAGGTTTATTTTTCCTCCACAGCTTATGAAGACACAGGAGTTAACAGCTCAATCCAAAGTAATGCAGAGAATGAAGTGTCTACCCCCAGAGCATATGTACCCACCCCCAGGGACTCACATTCTAGTCGGTAAGACTGTTTCATCAGCCGAACACATGTACTGTGACATGAGAGGCACTCCAGTTTGTTTATTTGTTGTTTAACGCTGCAATCAGCAATATTACAGCTATATGGCAGTGGTCTGTAAATGATGAAGTTTGGACCAGAGAATCCGGTGATCAGCACCGTGAGAGGCACTTCATATGTTAGTGAAAAACATTTTTGATGTGGATCCTACTTATCATTAGATGATTAGTGTTTTGACATGTACACTATTCAAAAGAATTAACGTTTAGTTAAAGATTTCTTTGTTCATATGACTACAGTCAGACAGATTAACTGTAGTCATATCATGGGGTTTTTTTTGTGTAACATCACATTCAGCAATATTCCAGCTATATGGCAGCAATATATCATCATGTGAAAGTATCTGGGGTTCCTTTACTTCTTTTGAGTTGGGGGCGGTGGGGTAGCCTAGTGGTTAAAGCGTTAATTTCGTCAATCCGCGCCCGAAGACCCGGGTTCAAATCCCCACAAGGGTACAATGTGTGAAGCCCATTTCTGGTGTTCCCCGCCGTGATGTTGCTGGAATATTGCTAAAAGCGGCGTAAAACCAAACTCAGTCAGTCAGTCTTTTGAGTTGACATAAATTTGTTCGCAAATACGATTTGGAAATGAGGAGTGTTATTAACCTTGACACTTTGTTTGTACTTGCCACTGTCTACAAAGTGATTATTGCACTACAACTACAGTCGCTTTAATGGGCATGGCACAGAGCATCATTATGTTGGTCTTGTAATATTTTATATCATCAAATTTCCAGAAACAAAAATAATTAATTTTTAACTAATCCTGCACTACTTACTTCCTGCACTTAATGCTAACGGCTCGAAAAGCGTGACTTGCCAGACGATGTCAAAAAGACGTAGAACTGCAATCACTTCCTGGTCTCGGCTGCTACTCGTCTGCGATTGCGTCACCGGAAGGTGACGTCAGCCACCTCAGATTATTGCTTTTCGCACGCCTTGTTAGACGTGTTGTTTGCCAGCTCAACTTGTATCCTACGGGATTATATTTTGTGAAGCATTAATAAAGACTGACCCAGGTTCGAATCCCCACAAGGGTACAATGTGTGAAGCCCATTGTGTGTCCCCCGCCTTGATATTGCTGGAATATTGCTAAAAGCTGCGTAAAACCCAACTCACTCACTCACTGTTAACCTGATGCTAAGATGATAGTGTGTATCCCCTTGATTAATCAGTATGCTATTTACCTCCCATGTGGCCATCTTCACAGAACATTGTTAACTAAGACAGGGTGTTGATATTTCTCTTCACAGTGACTCTCATATCCGTCCAGGAAGTGGTCGTGAACGACCTCCATCCCGTCCACTATCCAGCCGGTCCGCGCACAAGTCCAGCCAGGACCAACCCCCCAATGCCACACCGGTGAAGATTTCTCGTAAAGATCTGCGTCCAATGACAGAAGAGGAGGTGTCCATGAGGAGGTCTCATCTCAGTCGGAGCGTGGGGCCCTCAACACCACAAGGTGGGGACATTGCATCATCATGATGATAATGATGATGATTATGATGACAGTGATTAATGATTATTTTGCAATGATGAAAGTATTTGATAAAGTTAATAGAAGATGTAAATTATTGGTAATTAGTGAGACTGTATAATCAAAGTTCCTTTTCTTCACTGAGGTTATGTTACAGTAATTATTATAAGAAAAAGGTACAAAACTTTATGGATAACAACTCCTTTATTATATTATGATGCGACGTTTCTGGTAGTGTTGGGAATTGGTTGAAATCTCACAATTGATGATTGGTTCAATACCAACGACCAATCATCGAAAAAAATTGTTTAGCGTCATTTTTTAGATTTTCCTATTCAGGTTGTAGTTGCAGATAAGTATAAAGAAAAAAACATTTGGTTCTCTGTTGTTGTTTTTAGAAACTGCACAAATTACATTTGCAGATTTCACATCCAGTGTAAAATGATTCAGTTCCAGTGTAACATTAACTTCCCAGATTCTTCAAGAAATATTCAGTCATGACTTTTCAGAAAGTGAAGTGAGTTTTCTTAGAAATAAACACGTTTTCAGGCCCTGACAACGTCCTAGATATGTTCCATCATCAAATATTTCAAACTCTATTACAGCGGTTCCAAAATCGTTTTGCGTTAGATTATGAGAAAATGTGATCGATTGCTTGTGGATTTGGCCACTCGACCAATCTTGATTATTTCAATTAATCGGACCACCAATAGTTTCTAGTGAACCCTTGCGACAGTGGTATAAGAATCTATACGAAACATGCGCATCATAATATAATAAAGAAGTTGTTATCCATAAGTATCTAAAATGCCAATCATACAGGTAATTATTATGAAACATGATCACGAGAGTGATAGTTGAGGTGCATTTAGTTCGAATAAATGAAACTGATTGGATAACACCATAAAAGTAGGAGTAAAGAGAGGCTAATTTTTATGTTGGCTGTGTAGATAGTTAATTATAAAAAAGTAACTTGCAAATGATTCCGTGACATTTGATTGGCTCATCAAGCAAATTTTCTGTATTTATGTTACAAACATTAATAAATTTGTAAGCCGCACCTCCTAAAAGACTAGCATTTTATGATTAGCTGGTAATAGATTGGGCAGGATTAACATTGCATTATTGCTGTGAATGAAGTCAGTGATTTCATGTCATTGTCTACGGTTGTTGGTGCAAATCTTTAAATAAACAGTCAGATAAGTTATGTTTGGTGACTTCATTATGTTTTTTGCATTTAAGGAGGTTTAGATGTACAATGAAACCTGTCAAAGCCGGCACCCCATGCGACCGAAATAAAATGCTGGTTTAGACAGGGTACCGGATTAGACAGTGACGATCATTTTCCAACATGGCTGCCATTTACACTTGTCAATCTCTCAATCAAGCGTGCCGAGAAAAGTGTATTGAATTAAGGGACCTTGATTAGACTGCTCATACCCATGCCGATTTAGACAGTGTGAATTACAGTTAAATTGCTTAGAGTTTGATTCATCACGCAATCACTACTTCCTGATTATCTAGTGTGCCAAGAGTATTAATTAGTGTATTGGATTATGGGTCCTTGATTGGACTGTTCATACCCATGCCGGTTTACACAGTGTTAATTAGGGACCGTTCATAATTTATGGCTAGGAGGGGATGAAGATGAGTTTAAGGGGGGTCACCCATTTGTTCTGGGGAGGTAGGGGGGTCAGCAATTTTGTACACGTTTCTAGGAGGGTCAGCAATTTTGTACCTAAATATATTTTAAAATTATGCTTTAAAAATATGGAGGGGGGTGGCATTGACTTCGTACATGACATGCAGGGGGGTCACTTACTATGTACATAAATTTTAGATGGGGTTATTCACATTGTATATGCTTCTCCATAAAAATCATCATCACCCCCCCTAGCCATAAATTATGAATGGTCCCTTACAGTTAAAATTGCTTTTTGGGACCGGAAAGTCGTGCCGGAATATGGAATAGGTAGGTGCTGGATTAGACAATGTTTTCATGATCATAATGTCATTGTAAAATAGCGGGACCAAAATTTTATGCTGGTTTTGACAGTGTGCCGGATTAGAGAGGTGCTGGTGTTGGCAGGTTTCATTGTAATTAACGCTGTGCATGAGTTACATCTATCATACATAAATGGCCAAAATATAAAAGTCAATTTTTAAAATAACGGTGCATAATGTAAATGGGTTTTTATTCGTTTCAGATTCTTTAGATGCTGCGAGCAACCCCTGGTCGTGAGATGCTTCGTAGTTGTCCTACCACGTCTGTGTAGTGTCCTGACGGTGCTAATCCTATTACTGACGTTTAGCTTCTTGAGAAGATTGTCTTTTTTCATTATCTTGTCATAGATGCATCAGTGGGCAATTTAAAAGCCTGGATTACTGCCAGTCCACTAAACCCATCAGATGTGCTATCTACTTACAAGATGAAGAAATCACCAGGATCTGTATAGGGTTTTTTCAAGTATCCAGAAGACCACAGCAACCCACAACCAGTTTTATTGCTATCAGTAACGTATGTTAAAAACCTGCTTGTTTAGTATGTTAAACTGTGTATATTTAAGTACTGTTTGCTGATCACAAACAGTTATATTGAAGTTTGTGGTAAGGTTAAAGTATGTAGGTAACTCACACCTTGGTAGCCATAAGTTTGTGGAAGTGTTTACAGAACTATCATTATACACTATGGTTAGGGGTTGTATACTACTCAAAAGAAATTAAGGAAAGCCCATTTTTTTCATAGGGCTTAGTCTGTCCTAATTGGTGGGTACTGAGCAAATAGCATTGCTTTTATGTTCTTTAATTTGTTTTGAGTAGTATAATTCTTGAAACAGTATTCAACATTTGGTAGGTGTAGTTAATGTGCCATTTACAGTGACTCCACCATTTCTATCCTCCAGATGTAGGCTGATATTCCAATCTTGTGTGTAGCAGTGCATTTAAACACTTAAGAGAGCAGATCTTTCCATCATAAAACTGTACTGTAAAGTAATCCCAAATATAACATATCTTACATCATACAACCAGTCTTGAAGCAGTATATGATTACATGCACACTTGATTGTGTGACATTGAGGATTGGATGTTTTAACTGAAGGGTATGGGGATATGTTAGTTAACTTCCTTCTGTTTGTTCCAGAAGCTTAACACTGTATGTGGACTTTGGCCTTTTAACTCACTGTCAGAAATGCCTGTTTTAACAGATTGTTTCAATGCAAAATTATTCCAACAGAAAGTGTTATTTGTTATTCATGAATCCTGCCATGTGTTTGTTGCATACTTTGGTTGATAAGGAAGTTATTCACATCAGTTTGTGACTTTAGCCATTAGTTCAAAGCCAAAACTAAAGTTCCATTTGGTTTAGTAGGCTCGGCTAATAATGGTTCATATGTTAAAACTAAAATATACTGGCATGGAGGCTAAGATTCTTCCTCAGCTAGTAAACTCAAAAGGTTTTGGCACAAACTGTTATTATGAATGTGATGTACACTTTACATGTAAATCATACATTTAAACTTGTGATGGTTCTTTGTGGTCTAGTGTTCATAGAGTAATGGAAAATAATCTATTGCTCCAGTCGATGTTTGTACAGTGGTATCTCTGTTTGGTGAGCAATGTCTGTTTACAACTGTCTGCTCAGAAGAGTTTGTCTCAGTCCCAACGTTGAATATGATTTATATTTTAGTGTTATAACTTTGATAAAAGGAACTTCCATTTCTTATAAATGCAATCTGAAATTGTTGTTACACAGCGAATATTGACCAAGTGATGAGTATGTTATCAGGGATGAGAATTTCCGCTGACATGCGGTATTCCATGGATTTCCTGAATTCAGGGCTCCCTTTGTGATACACACCATCAAACTGATTTAAAACATTTAGTGTTCCAGAACCACTGTAAACATTCATGGTGTTTTGTGAAAACACATTTCCATTCCAGTATGGAGAAGTTAATGAGGAACAGCTTGTGTGTTTTTGTGTTTTGATGTTATGATGCTAGTGTGTTCCGTAGCGTTCTTCCAGCAATCAAGTGCTATGTATCGAGTGTTACCGATAAACCCTATTACTAGACTCACACTTACAGAAGACTGTGTGTTGTCATAGAGCAGGATTCAAGTTATGTTTAATGGAGTAGTTCGTAGTTAAGAGAAAGCGTGCAACCCCAGGGTTCGAAATTAACACTTTGAGGTAGCAAATTTGCTATTCAAAATCCTATATTGCTACCTGAATAACCCACAGTAGCAACAACTTGCTACCTGGTATTTTTAGTGAACTGCAAGTTTTGCTGAAACATTTTCATCAGATCCTTTCTAGACTTAACCCTCCAGTGAATCATGACAACCACGTCCAGAACCAGTGGGCTGAATTGAGGTCTTGTGAACAGCAGCAATGTGTTGAAAACCTATTTTACGCGGTGCACTGATACATAAGGTCTGTCTCACCCATAGATGACTTAATATATTTTGGATGGTCCGGATACTTTTGAGTTTACATGGTACCAGACTTATTGTATCATAAAGTGTTACATTAGACAGAATATTTATATAGTGGCTTTAGATAGTGTCACCTGAATTGTCTCATTTATCTCTCTGCCCTTTTCCTCCCCTCTTCTCCCCCCATTTCTCCCTCTCCACCTGTAAATGTTGAAATGAAGTGTCACGCTATGGATGTGGTACTACATAAGTTATTCTTTTGACATAATGACAGTTATTTATTTATCTTCTTGTTTACATTGTTACATGTGTGTGAAAGGCTGTTATAGTAACTATCTCAAATGAATGAATCCATTTTCATTTGAATGTTAGAACATGTGTTATAAATATTGGTTCTTAAGGCATGGTCAGTGTGATTCAGTCACAGTGTGACATCCGATGTATATAGTACACAGCATTAATTTATATGTATTTGTGATTGTCAGATGATGTTTTTACAAAGGGACCAAACATCGACATTGGAACACCATTATGTTTTATTGGTGTTTATGTCTGATCACACAGGTATTTTTGAGAGGCCGATATTGTTTTGTATATGCACAACATTCCACGGTGATTGCTAAATCGATTTCTAGTTCACTTAATAGTACAAAAGGCTAAACTGAATGGCAATCTATTGGCCTTGAATCACCAGCCAATATGGTCATGGCAAAAACATTAACCAAAAGCGTTATTCTTACTATGTGTAATTCCTCTGGTATAGATGATTGATTTAATATAGTATACTGCCGATTCAGCAATTTTTGTAAGTTTCAGGCCAAGTAGGCTTGCATTTTCATTTTGGGTGAAGGCTGTTGCCAGTGTCGACTGTGATATGGCTGGAATATTGCTAACAGTGGTGGAACCCAATGCTTTGTTGCTTTGTTGATCAGAATGCTGTTAGCGCTAAGACTACCTTAAGTGTATGTTAAGCTATGAGAGTTACAGTCACCTTAGCGCTTTGTACAACAGCACCACCCTGTTGAATTTGTTACTTTGTGTGTGCTAAACTCTTTACCCATTAGGAAGGAAAAATGTTTAGTAAGGAATATGTCAGCCCTATTCAGAGTTTCACTTCAAAAATAAACTTGTTAAGCTCAACTACATGAACTGCTGTATGCCCACCACAACTTCTACTGCCACAGCAACAGCAACAACCACCACCAGGGATACTGTACATCGATAGAATCAAAGATACTAGTAGTTTAAAATCAAAATTACCTAGCCAAGTATACACCGTCCATATTTGTGTGTGATTAATGTCCAATTATTCTTATTATGATCAGCTTTAATGACTGTGTTAAAGTTGCTGTCATGAATCTCAGCATCCAATCACCAGTCCTGACACACAGGTGTTCTATGTGGTCCATTAATGTCCATATGTGGCCCATGGGTGTGCTCTTTTCCCCATATATATCCTGTTTTCTCATCGAAATATACCGTATTTGATCATTTACTATTTGAATTTTGTTTTTTGACAAGCACATCAATTGCAAGTTGAAAATGATTTTGTGAAAGATTTTCGGAAATAAGTTTCTGTGAAGACTTAAAGTGTAAGTAAAAGACATTTGTTCTTAATACATCTTACTGAAGCTGACCCAAACATGATTGTATCATATTGTATAATAAAATTAACCATAATGTACTGTCAAAAAAAATGGTGACAAGTGGCCATTCTTCATAAGACCAAACAAGACTGTAAATGTTGTCTTTTGTATCAATCTCTGATCCTCTTCCACCATTTGGACATGACATTTAGGTATACATTTGATTGAATCAAAACAATAATTTGATTGTGATGTATAATGCTTTACATCAATGCATGACATTTACCAGTATTCTCCTGCCATTGGTTAACTACTACTTACAAAGAGTTAAAGAATTCTCAATCCTTTAATATTACAATAGTTAAGTTGCCATGGTAATAGCATACATGTTCCTGTGATACACTGTGGTGATGTATAGTACAGTTGCCGTCCATGTCCAACAATTGTTCTCCTAGCCATGTGATTTACATGACATTCCACTGTCTTTACAGTTACTGCTTGCAGTATGTGAGTAATTTCCAAGCATTTGTGATTTAATGTCATGTGTACTAACACATATTCTCAGTTAACAGCAGTTGCTGTTTTAATAGTCCGACCCAATAATATTCTACTCAAAAGAAGTTAAGAACCACACAATTCTTTAAGTTTACTATTTTTAAATTTCATAGCATTACACTGGATTGTCTGATCCTGTCTGTTATTTACAGACCTGTGCCATAGATGGAATATTGCAGAGTGAGATGACAAACAAAAAGCAAATGTAGCCCGAGTTATTCATATGACCAGATGTTATCCATAATTGGGTGACAGATTAACTACAGTCATTTGATACAAATTGTAAAAATTGGGCGTTCTTAACTTCTGTTCAGGAGTATATACAAAGTGCAGGCTGAATAATGTTTATCTATAAGTGGTCTGCATCACTGGCAGATTTAGACCTAGAATGAATTTTGTCCACACCCTCAGAGCAAAACACTTGATCATTCAAATAAACTTATTCAGTAAGTTTGCTTCAGAATTATTCCTCAAAACCTGTTGTATCATTTCCTGTGTAAATGGAACACAATTGAACACTAAAACCACTGATTCTGTTCTACGTCATATACTTGCATCTTCACCATTCATCTGGTCAGGCATTTAAGCAGCATTTATTTCAGAAATCATTTTATTGTCATATGTATCTGATCCCTCCATCAGAAACAACACTATCTACGTGCAGGTTTCATTGTGACATCTTTCTAAAGGCCCCTTTACACTTATTTCGTATTGACAGGAATAAAGGAGAATCAGCCAGAAAAAAAAAACCTTTCCAAAGTTCGAACCGCATTGTCAAGCTTTGTAAGAATGCCGATTTACTAGCGACTCCCAAATGCTATCTGACGTTTGAGTGACAGGTGGCCACGTTTTTATGCGATTCGGTGTTGTTCTGATGATGTCAGGGCTCATTTCAAGAGAATTCGGGACGTTCTGACTATTCGAGGTACATTCGAGCTGTATTCCCACAGCAATCGAAATATCCCGATATATTTGAAGAATATTTCACCTGAATTCCAGCAGCAATCGAGATACATTTGAGGCGCATTCGGGACATACTGACAGGATTTAAAGTGTCTTGCCTTTTCCATTCTTCCACGAATACGTTCAGAATACTTAGAATGCACTTCACCTACCGTTCGATATTTTTCCACTTCGAATGTACCTCAAAAGTTTTGAAAATATTCAAAACATTTGGGCATGTTACAAGAATTGACCCGAATAGTTGGAATGCATTCGGAATGTAGTAAGAAGTTTAAAATGCAGTTCAAATTTCCAGGAATCTCCAGGATTTTTTATTCCGGCTCATTCCTCCTCATGTGTAACGGGGGTATTAGGAAGGAAGTCAGTCACTTTTCATATAACAGTTTTTAGATTTGTGTGTGTGTGTATGTCTCAATCCGTATCCAGTCTGTATATGCCTGTATGTGTAGTTGGCATCCACCGCTGGCTGTGACCCACCCTAGTATTGTCCTTTTTCCAGATCGCCCAGCCAGTTACCTGTCTCAGTCTGTGGTAGGGTTCACTGGTCAACTCTAGCGACCATTGTCATGTGTTTGTGAGACCCTTACTACCTTATGTCATAGGAAATAAAGAGGAACATATCAACATTTCTTCTGTTTTTTGTTATGTTTATGTTGCTAAAAGAGGTGTAAAACCTCACTCACTCATTTGTTCATGGATCTACTCGTAATTGGTCATCAAAACATGAATTTTGCTTTGATATTCAAAGACGAAATTGCCTTTCTGGAGATTGTGGGCCAGACATGATTCCAAGCAGCCAGTGCTGGTGGCATGAGGGGACCAAATGGAATGGGTGGTCAGACCTCGGGACTTGGTCGATTGGGTGTCATCATGACCTGATCACTGCTCACAATATCGATCACTTTATTGTCAGGTCCAGACTTGACCAGGTTCATGTCATATGGCTGGAATATTGCCAAATACTGCAATAAAAAAACACAACACAATACATGTTAATTCCAATACAATTAAAACCATGTAATGGTACCTGATCATGTATATACCGTATGTTCGATTCACACTTACGTTTTAGGGTAAATGTGTACTTGATCATTTACATGAAAAGCATTCCAGTGTTGGTGATAAACTGCCCCAAACTACCGTTAAAGTAAAGTAAAATCCCATTGTCAGCATAAAGGATTCCTTTTTCATCTTTGTATTGTATTCTTGCTGTGGTATTGTCTAGTCTCCATTATGTTGCTGATGTATGACTACACCTTCATCGAGATGACAAAATATGTCGTGGCATTATAGATTCTAGAGATAGTATGTCCTGAATGACATAATGGAGGACATGGTAGAGCGCTGCTTCTGATAGACCTCCAGTTCTTCTCATGAGTCATCTTAGCAATAGTTTGCAAACGGTCCCTCGAACAAATCACAGTGAATGTAAATTTCTTTGAACAGTTCTTTTGGAAACAGGTTGTGGCCGAGACTGATTAAAAATGTGAGTGGCTAGAATGCACTTTACCGGGCGCAGCCCTCGCTGCTCCCTTTACGGTCCTTAGGGTTAGGGTTAGGCACCCTTTACGATCCCTGAAAAAGTGCGCCCTGTAAAGTGCAGTACTCCCAAATGATTTTACGTACGCATCCCGAGGATTCTATTCACGAATGATTATGAACCTCTATCATTATTGATAAAAGTACGAGATATTTGCTGTTTCCCCCTTTATGTTGTGTAATAAGTATGTTTATGTCCTGGATTATCCTATTTTATGGAAACACAACTCCCAAGTATAAGCTATTGAAATATGAATCGTTTTGCTTAATATACTTTCAACCGGTTTGCCTTATATATGGCAAGTTCTGCTTGGCGCTGAAATGCTAATTCGCTTAGAAATCATAGGTGCGGTTTTCCATGTATACATTTAGTCATCCTTGGGATTTCTCTGCAATGTGAAAGTAGTCCGTCTGTATTTACGTCCTTTCCAGAATACAGTCTCGTGTTAAACGTATGAATGTTGTTCATACTTCAACACTAAGCTTCATGAACGTCAGATTCGCCGGTCACGTGACCAACATCTCGTGCTGTGGAAAAACTGTATATCGTTTAGCTTCACATTAAAGTAAGTAAGTTAGTTAAAATTTTACATCGCATCGGCAGTGGGGGGAGGAGAGTGTGCACAGTTCAGAAAGGGTGTTGCATAGTTAATTTTCACCCGTATTCACGAGATTTTCAAAGGTCATTTAATTAACCCCCACTTTGGATCCGCCTATGATCAGAGTGTTTTCATGTTTCAATGTGAAAGTAGTGCATACAGTACAATCATGGACACCCCAAACAGCGTCAGTTTACGGGCGGTGTGTGTGTGTGTTTGTGTGTGCGTGCGTGTGCGCGTGCGTGCGTACGTGCGTGCATGTCCTTGCGTTCGTGTTTGTGTGTGCGCTGGCGCCCGTGTCTGGCTGTGTGTGTATGTGTGTATGCGTGCGTGCGTGGCTGGGTGTGTAGGTGGGTTGGTGGATTACCCCAAGAACATTGCTGGCCGACTAATAGTTAACAGGTTCATTGATATAAGATCTGGGTGATTTTATGCTTATCGCCAGATTGAATGTGGCCACCTCACGGAGACCACCGCTGTTGTCATTATTTTTGACGACACATGGGATCTGTGTTTCAATGTGTAGATACCATACAAATCCGAGTCCCATGCAGGGATTCGAACCATTGACCTTCTGATCCGAAGTCAGATGCCTTGTCCACATGACTAAAGAGGTTAAACCCATCAGCAAGCTACCGGGGTAAGGATGGCCCTCTATGGGATGACTCCACGTCCTGCTACGATACACACCAGATAAATAGCTCTGGGCAGTGATAGTTACAGTCACGCAAGTAAAGTAAAGTTAAAAATTGATTTCAGTGAAGGTTTGAGAACGTTTTATCACAAAATATCGATCTGTTTACTCCAGTTGCGCCCCTGTGTCGGCAGAGGAAGGGAGTCTGGTGGTTGAGGATGACGGAACCGGCAATAGTGTTCCTTAATCCACCACACCACGTCGACCCTGACTTTGCCTAGACGGGTGGTAGAATAGGCCCGATTCTACCAATCGGCTGGTCACGCCTTGCCCTGTGCATGGAATGTTTCCACAAAATTTGGTACTACAAAACGCTTTTGGACATGTTCAAAATTTTAACTGATATTCTGCCCAAACCAAATAGCATTGCAGACCCATGCACAGAAGGCGGCGGCTCATGGGCCAATCTGGTGATGCTGACCTCCGATTTCTGCACGTCTCCAATTATTTGTCATGGACCGAACCATCCTGACCTTTAATCTGGTAGACAGCTACGGCATTTCATGTCAAATTCGCTGGAGTATAACACCCCCTTATCCTCGGTCTTTGCAGCTTGGAGATCCGCTGAAGTATAAGATCGTCCTTGTTGACACTCCATGGTGGTTTGGGAGAGGGGATGCCGAATCACATTCGTTACGAAATGGCTTCCCAACACCCCGGTTCAAAATGAAGACATATGGATTCTGACAATTCCTCGTCTGACGAGAGTACGCCCCCTCGACCTGATTACTGGCCACGTTTCTTAATCATTGAAACTTGTGACAAGCAACCACTGCAATTGAACTCCATTTGCTGTCTCCAAGGGTATTTGCTGGTATCTGCGGAGAGGTTGCCAATGTAACAAAGCTTCGGTCCGGTTCTCTCCTTGTAGAATGTGCTCGGAGACAGCAATCCTTGAATCTACTGAAATTACAAGAGTTTGTCACTGTAAAGGTTGCTGTCTCAGCGCACAAAACACTGAACACGTGTACAGGCATTGTACGGGACAGAGCTCGCTGCCTGTCTGACATGACTGAGGAACAAATTGTCCAGGAACCTTCCCAGCAGCCTGTCACAGAGCTCTGTGAAGAGATTCACCATCAAGAAGGACGGTGTTGTTCAACCAACAAACACCTATCTGTTTACGTTCGCCCGATCGAAGATTTCTGAATCGATTAGAGCTGGTTATTGTAGCATTGGTGTGGAGGTGTATGTCCCCAATCCACTCCAGTGCTACAAATGCCAAAAGTTTGGACATGGATCCAAGTCCTGTCGTTCCTCTGCTGTTTGTTACCGCTGTGGTGACAAACATGAGGGCAATGACTGTACTATGGAAGTGAAGTGTGCCAACTGCGGTGGCAACCATATGGCCTCTTCCAAATATTGTCCCGTGTGGCAACGCGAATCAGGAATCATAAAGATCAAGCACAAAGAAAATGTCTCATTTCATGAAGCTAAGAAGAGGGTTGCAAGTTTAACTGTATCCCTTCCACCAAAACTTACTCTTCTGCCGTCTCTCGCCCTTCTCCCACTACTACAACTATCTCATGTCAAACCGATCTGACATGGGTCAAATCTTCTCAACCTGTCTCAACCCCTTCATCTCCAAAACCAAAAGTCAAAACTTCTGAATCACAAACACCAGAACCAATGCCAAAACCAGAAACGGAAACTGTGCGCCAAAAAAGAAAAGAAAAGAAACTACAGTGACTAAAGCAGCTTGAGCAACTGCCAAACCAAAAAACAAAGGCCACCTCTCCGTCAGAGGTCCCCGTCGAGGTCCATAACTCCTTTGGTCCTCTGGATATGGAGGTCACTCCATCTCCACCTGACACCAATAGGAGTACTTCAAACGCTTCCTCACGGTCACGTGACATGTGACATGTGACCAGTGGAAGCACTATGAATCCACATAACATGATTCAATGGAATTGCAGAAGACTGAAGAATAAGTTTAATGAACTACAGTTATTGATCCAAGACTAGAATCCATTGTCTCCAAGAAACCTACCTGAAAAGAACTGAGAAATTTGACATCCGTCGGTACAGTTCCTACCACTCCTTTCTCCTCCCGGTAAAGCTACATGAGGCACTTCTGTCCTGCTGAGGCAGGGCATCCTCCATAGCCCTGTTCCACTAAACACCACCCTTCAAACTGTTGCTGTCTGCATGACTCTGAACATAGGGTTTACACTATGTTCACTCTATCTTCCTCCTTCCTCAACTATCCGCCTATCAGATCTTCAGAACTTGTATGACCAACGCCAGAAACCCTGCATAATCATGGACGACTTGAACGGTCATACCCCCTATGGGGGAGTACCGATACAAACAACAAGGGAAAGGTCCTTGAAGATTTTTTCTCCAATATTGATCTATGCATCTTCAACGATGGATCAAACACCTATCTCCATCCTGCCACTGGAAGATACTCTGCTCTTGATCTATCATTTACGGATTCTAATCTCTTAAACGAGTTTGAATGGTCGGTCCACGATGACCTTTGTGGAAGTGACCACTTCCCAACTATTCTTACTCCTATCAATCCCGCGGATGAACCACCTTCAACAAGATGGAATTTTATTAAGGCCAAATGGCCATTATTCCAAACTCTCTGCTCTGAAAAACGTATACCGGACAACTTCAGGAATGTTCCTGATCCCATGGAACTATTTTCTGATATCTTAAAAGCTATTGGGGACGAAACCATCCCTAAGTCCTCTGCAAAACCGCACATACGCAAACCATGGTTTGATACAAACTGTAAACAAGCTAGAAAAAAATAGGAAGAAGTCGGAAAAATACTTCCGACA